AACAGACAGAAACTTTACCACTTGGCTACTGTAAAGAGGCTTTTGGTAGTTATCATAGTTCCCTACAGTGAGTACTTGATTGAGAATCAGGATGAAATTTTAGAATGGAGATAACCTACTTAATCCATCTGATCATGTCAAGTAAATAAAATGTGATGTCACTTTCATTGCGACCCCTCCTTGGGTCTCCAAGGCAGTATCGCTAAAGAAGTAGATTCCCCAACCTTCCTTCTGAGGAGTGGCTGGTGGGTTTGAACTACCAGCCTTCTGGTTAGCAGACAAATGCCTTAGGCACTGTGCTACGAGAGCTCCCACTTGATTGAGAATCAGTGTGAAATGTCAGAGTGGAGATGACTTACTTAATCCACCTGATCATGTCAAGTAAATAAATGTGATGTCACTTAGGGTATTTCAGGGTTTAAGACCCTGGAATTTACCATTATTATCCTCATAAACATAACTATTACTCAAAAATCAGAAGTAGCATTTACATTGGTGACATGATTTTTCTTACAAGTAGAACTATTCTTGATAAAGTCTCAAACAAAATAAATGACAATATTTGCCAAGGAATGTGATGAATGAATGAATGAGTGGACCACCCTGATTCTGAAGAGAAGAAAGTCAGCAGAATCTTTTTTTTAAGTGGTTTCTTAATGAAGTCATTTTACCCTAAAACATCTGGCAGGATTGTGTGGTAGCCCACATGTATTTCCATGGATTAATAACCCCAGAATACAAGTTCTGTGAGACAATATATACAATAACTTTGTATAGGAAGAAACTTAGAAATCTGCACACAAAACAACTAGCCTTTCCAAATATTTGATCATTTGTTTTCCCAAATGACTGGGTTTGTGAAGGTGTTTTTCATATAAGCAATAGATTGTCTCTCATTATATGTCATGATGGGAATGGGTGAAGCATGTCTCAAAAATCAAAGCTGACTGTTCAAACTGGAGATGCCTGGTTTGTCCCAGAAAAAAACATTTGACTTTTAAGCAAAAGCATGGTGCAAGTTCTGTCTCCATTGCTTAAAAACGGTGGGACCTGGAAGAAATCACTCATCGATATAATTAATCCTCTATTTTTCTCATGTGGTAAGAAAAGATGATTTATCCCTTGTTGTTGTTGTTATGTGCCGTCGAGTCTGACCTGACGCATAGCGACCCCTACTGGGTTTCCGAGGCAGTATCACTAC